GAAGTGGAGATTTGTTCTTCCATCACTGTTGGCTAATATCACGCTGTTGGTACTAAGCAGACTTGTAAAACACCTTCATTGTCCTCAGTCTTTTTATGGCTTGCCTATTGAAGTAAGCAGCGTCTATTCTCCTACAGAACAGTCCAAACAGCAGTACAAACATATTTCTGTAGAACAGGTGTTTTAAGTAGTAGTTTTCTTCTTAACATCTTTAACAAATGGATGTGTAGGATTCACGTTCCCAAATCAATCATCTGTGTAATTTGCAAAAGATGTTGTAGAGTACTAGCAAATACAGGAAGGCTGCCCAACTAATTTTTGTCATGGATATCTCTTATGACATATATAGCATATGTGCGAATTCAAAAATGCCTCTTTTATCTATTTGAAACTACTGTTAAGGAGAGAGCACTAGAAGATGTTGAGAGAATTGCTGTTGATGATAGTTCATTATTATTTTCGTTACTATCACTTATAGCCTTTAAATGTAGAAGAAACTCAAAAGGATTATACCAAGAACAAAGTTCACATTAATATCAGGTGTAAGAACTTGTAATGTCTAATTCTCGCCAAAAATATTAAAGTTTGCAGTTGTGTTTTTCAGTTAGAAGCATTTCAGCTTTTACAAGATTCTTTGTGCAAATTAAACGTGGTTTTCTTCTAAAAGGTGTGCCTGCTGCTTCTTTGGTAACCCCTGCTGATGTCATCAAGACAAGACTGCAAGTGGCAGCTCGCGCTGGTCAGACAACATACAGCGGAGTTATTGACTGTTTTGGAAAGATTCTAAGGGAAGAAGGCCCTTCGGCTTTTTGGAAGGGAGCCGGAGGTGAGAAATGCACTCTGAATATTAAGGCTGGCCCCGAGTCTGCAAATTAGCACTTGCTTTGTTAAGGACTCAAATTAGAGCGGTATTTACAAGGTCTGAGTCTGAAAAACATAACGTTTTTTAAAAACGTTTAGCTTCTTTCCTGAGAAACTTCTTTGTTTGACGCTATGATTTGTAATATTTAACAGCTCGCGTGTTCAGATCTTCACCCCAGTTTGGTGTTACTTTGGTCACTTACGAACTTCTGCAGAGATGGTTTTATGTCGATTTTGGAGGCCTGTAAGTCAAATATTTGCTTTTTAGCTTGTACAAAACCCCTGCCAATTTAAAAAGAAATATCTTACTTTTTTCCATGCATGAGACCACTTAAAATTACAGTATGCGAAGTCACCAAGTTAAGTACAGGTGCTCAAAAAATCACCCCATCCTTACACAATTGAGAGAAACTTGCATGCTACTTCTAAACAGATGAGGAGATAAAGAACCATTTCACATTTATTTTAAGACACTACATAAAATTTGTACGTCCGTTGTAGCAAGATATTTTGTCCATTTTCCCCATGTCACTGGAAGTTACTAGAATTTACAAGGCTATCAGTAAAAATGTAACTTCAGCCTTGGCCTTGCTTTCTCATTAAGTAGTGGTCTGAAACAGACCGTAGAAGTGAATTAATTAATGTCAGCTTTAACAGTCTTCCATACTCGGGCAAAAGCCTGAAGTATTTAGTCTAGATTTTGTAAAGTTATTCAGGATTAAGAAAACACTTTATTTAAAGGAAATGCTTTTTTCTTTTTCTTTCTGCAAACAGCAAACCTTCTGGATCAGAACCTACCCCGAAAACTCGAATTTCAGATCTTCCTCCTGTTAACCCTGAGCACATTGGTGGATACAGACTTGCTACAGCTACATTTGCTGGTATAGAAAATAAATTTGGTTTATATCTTCCAAAATTTCGATCTACTGGCATCGCTTCAGCTCAAGCAAAAAGTAGCAGCTGAATCCTGAAAAGATGTTTCAACCTAACAAAGCGATGCAGTGGAAAAAGTTCACAAGAGTAGTACTGTAATTTTTTCCAGTCAGCTGCATGTTGTTCTAGCTGAACTGAGCTTGCAAATCTAATTGCTCCTTTCTAATATTAATATATACCTGCATTTATTTGTTTATTTGCACACAAGGAACCGACTGAAGCTGTGGTTCTATGCCTTGTTTTAACCAGTGGCATGAATCTGTAGCCTAGACTTTGCCTTGCACAGCTCGCATTTAATGTTACTGTACATATTGTACATCTTTGTACAGAGACATCATGGCATCTATACACGTACATTTATATAATGGGTATTGCAGTTCAAAATAGTTTGAAATGTACAGAATGTTTTGAAGGCGTTTTGTTAACTATCATGTGACAATAAAATATTTAAAAACACTTAAGTCGGTTCACTTCTTTGTTTATAGAAAAGTTGTCCAGTGTGATTTTTTTCCCTCCCCTCCACAGATTGCAGATCAAAATGTAAAGATGAGATGCACCCATTTAATGAAGGTACAGTACAGGACATAGCCTCTGAAGGAATGCACTTCACGGCTAGTTGCAGCAAAGGTATTAAAATGCAAGGTGCTAGCTTGTAAGTGTAAGAGAACACAGGAATTAGATGAGCACATGCGATATTTTATTTTGCAGAGGTACTTTGTAACAAGGAATTCCCTCGGAACACATGGTAATACTAAACGTGTAATAGATCTTACCTCTATGGTAGCGTATTTAAAACACAGTGAGATATTTGCCAGTTATTAGCAGACTCAAGAATCTTTACGGGATTTATTACTCGGAGCGCCTTTTTTCCCCAGAATTTTTTTCCAGAACTTTTAATAACAAAAATTGAAGGCATTCTCCTTATTTTTAGATTGTTTTACCACTGTTAGATTAGGTTATTCTGGAAAAAAGACAGACTTACTTTTATATTCTTTTTGTATGCAAAACTGATTTTTTTAGACTTCCAGTTGAGTGGAATGCTAAGTAAAAGGAGAGGAGAAAGGAAAAGCTTGAACTATGTCTGGCTTAACGTCTGCCAAAAGTCTATCTGATGTAATTTTTAAATGCAAAAATGTCAGGGGAAATAGGGGAGTCTAGATTTCTACAGTCCTAGAGGAAAGGCAGTTATACTACCCATACAGCCAGAGAAGAGATGGGTGGGTTTCCAGCCTTGCTTACTGAAGTATGACAGCCTCCAATCTTTAGTTTTACGTGTTTCTTTCGGGGTTAAACATCCTGGAGTACAGTGCGTCCCAGCAGTATAAACTGATTGGAGATTCTGTTATTTTCTTGCTCAGGTGACAGCAGGCCAACATGAAGAGTTTTAGTCAGCTTATGAAGAAGTGGTTTCTTAAAAACTGAGCACTACAAGCACAGACAAGCCCTCCTTCAGTTCTCGCCTCTAAGCAAGATGTAAATCTTTTGGTGCTAAGTAATATTTAGTGAGCTAGGGGTTACAATACATCGAACTTGGGAGTTTGATCGCTGTTCTATGTCTTTATTAGGGTTTTTTTTTTTTCAGTTTAAAGAATTACCCGTTCTGTGCAGTTTTCTAGAGACAGGCTTCCCAGCACTCTCCCCATATCTATGTATTTTGTTCTGCGCTTTTCTAAATAGATACAAAAATGGTAGGTACCCACTGGCGTTTAATCTTAGTCACAGCTTGTTGACTGACTTGATCGAGGCCTTAGGAGACTTGAACAATGCAAGATAGCATTTGTATTTCTTACAGCTCCACTGGACAGTGTGGCTCCTGGGATGATCATTTACAGTATCTAGCATCACTGTTGGTCTCAATGTTGCAGGTATGGGTTTTACAACATTTTTAACCTGTACTCAACTATTTTGTGAGGGAGGAACACTTTTTTTTACAGAATAGTTTTGTTGGAAATTATTAAAAGGTTGAAGTTACGTAAAACTAATGCCCTATGACCTATATGTTTATGCCACAATCCATGAAAAGAAAGCCTTATCTACTGTATTTCTGAAAATGTAAGTCTGAAGGAAATGTATTATTAAGTGAGAACTAACAATCTCAGTAAAAAAAAAAAAAAAAAAAGACAAAACCAAAAAACCAGCAAGACAACAGAACATTCTGCTCCTTAAGAATTCTTGTGCCGGAAGGGTAAAAATCATGACATGGCGTGCCTGTTCTTTATATAGTTCACATGTTTCTCAACTGAACAGATAGCTGCTGTCGTAAGGTTGAAGAAAACACACAAGGCAAATGTCAAACTGAACAGTATGACTTTGCACTGAAAAGACGGGGGGACTTTTGACAAGCCAACACCAATGGAAGCCTAAATACATTTCACTTTCACACCCGCTGAAAAAGAGAACCTCCTGAAGACAGAACTGCTGTTACTGCTGCCCGTGTCTCTATGAGCTGCTCCTAACAGAACTGAGACAAGGAGAAACAGAAAAAAAACCCAAACCACCCAACAACTTAAAACACAAACAATGAAGAAACAATAAGAATACTTCTGGACATAAAGCTGATTAAGGAATATAAACCTAGTTCCTACTTTCAAGCATATAAAACAGCTCTTCTGGCAAAATGATAAGCTTGTAGCAGATTAAGAATACCAGAAACACACCTAGAGTCCTAGGTTAAAGGCATCGGTACTGGTTTAGTGCCTAATTAGTACAAGTTAGAATATTTACAAAAAAACCCAACCCAAACCAACTAAAAAACCCACCCCCAACCCCAAAACCAGTCTTGATGGGAAACTATAGTGTTCTAAGAAAGATGTACTCAAAACATTTAACCTTTAACAGACATTCCAACCATTCTGTTTCAAGCCATTGGGAGATTTTGTTTCAATAAAAATGTTAAAAAGCAATAAAAACATCTTTCTTTAACTTAATACAGAAAATTAGTAGCAAGTCTGTAGTTCACAGAATGCAAATCATCATGCTATAAAAATTAAGTAAAAATCTAGTTCCTTATCCTTTGGGAAAGAAAAATTTGACAACAGTAGCCTTTTTCCTTTTGGCGGATTGCCATGGTAGGAAGTGGAGGTGGGGGCAGAAAACAACTCTGTGATGTGTGTAGTAAAATAAAACCAGCAGCTCCCAGGAACCTTCTACTGTCACACTACTGAAGGGACGTGGATTAGGGGTCAGGGCAGCTGACAAGTGCTCACATAATATTTATTTGTGAATCAGTCTCACCTTTTAATGCACCAATTCAAACAAAAAGAACTTGGTATTAAATATGTATTTCATTAATTCAGGTCCAATTATCAAATATGTTTGTAACTACAGACAAATTTTTATTCACATGTATTACCCACTACCAGAGTCTGAGGCTTATCTATATATAAACTATGAAACTTACTTGGAACATAGGCATGCATATCCATGGGTAATTTGAAGAGTTCAAATTAAAGAACGCTTCAGAGATTTACTACCTAATGAAGGTTAGTCTGTGTAATATAGAAAGTTTAGTTTAGAAACAGAACTTTTACTTTTCAGAAATAGATGCTGTTACAAAGTGGAAATTTCAGAAGCCCAACAGCAAATTTACACCAGGTTAGTGTTTCAGCAAAAGAAGTAGTTCCTTGCAAAGTCAACGTTAACTGTATTAAAAGTTACACAAATCCAAGAATGTGCTTGTAATTGATATATAAAAAGTGACAATGCAAGACCTGATTTTCAGTGATCTTAATACGTTTTCAAAGTCCATAGTTGAATCCCTATATTCCTCCCTTAAGCTATTATTTGAACTGACATACGCTTACACTTTTAAGATTTGCATCAAATCATTCATAAGTCTACCACTGCTGCCTATTTTTAAAGATCTACGCCGGTATGCGGGTTGCAGCTTCCTCTTCCGCGTCAGCTCTGTTAGCATTTATTTCTGCCAGTGTTCGACCAAATCGAGTCCACTCATCACTGCGAGGAACGGCAATTTGCTGTTGACAAAAAGAACGTTATTTAAACCTACTGATAAATAAAAACGGAGCTCATTTTGAACTGCAGAGTGCTTAAGTAATGTTCAGAAGAGGTTTCGATAGAAAAGCTTACCTTTATTTAGTGTAATTTTTAAAATACTCTGAACATCAAAAGCTCTAACTAATAAAAGAAACAGAATTTGAAAATCCTGTATTTAAGTATGTAATGATACTATTGCAAGCTTGAATGATACGCCTCCATCTGAGAGACTGCCTCCAAAGGGGAATACTAATGCCATGTCCTCATCCAATGAATTGGTTACGTACTACTGCAGTACACATACTTGCAATAGCAACAGCTTCCCTGCAGGAACAAAGTCGAGACTGCGTCACCGCAAAATTTTTTGTTCGGTACTTCTCAAGCTACGGTCAGAATTCACACGTGCCACAGTTACAAAGAAGATAAAATCTCTACAAACAAAACCACTGATTCTTTCATCTTATTTCACCAGCCTTACTATAATGTTTTTACTTTTTGATTGGCTGCCAGATAGCATGCTAAAAAGTTATGCTAGAATACCTGAAACAGACAGAAAAAGGCAACATTCATTTGAAAATAAAAATTAGACCTTATTCCTCTAATCACAGGGGAAAAAAGTTAAAAGCAAGTTGCTAAATAAGAGTACAAGTCAAAGAAACTCGAGTGTTTTGTGATGCACTTCGTACAACACGTAGTATACATACCTCTCCCACGTCATATATAACTATTTGTCCCTCTGAATCACCTACAGCAATCTCTCTCCCAGAATGCGTCCATCTCACGCGGTTCAGGGCAGGATTGCCCTCCACAGTAATGCTTGCAGTTGGCACCTGTATCCATTTAAAACACATTGCTAAAAAATGCATGAGGATTCCATAAGCTATAGATTACAGAACACACCTAGTCCCTCAGTGTTGGATCAAAAGAAGTGCCAAACATTTCAACTGAGGCAGAGTATGTAGATCTCAAAGACTCTCAGTGGCCTTTAGCTATCGCCAGTGACATGACCAAAACAACACATCTTCTGTCCCTTGGCCAAAGTACAAACATCCTCTATCACAAAGCACATCTGCACTCTTGTCGTGAGACAGGAGGCACAGACATGCCTTCAGTCAGACAGCAAGGAGGAGCCCTGGGATCTCAAGAAAGATTGTGACAGAGGGCAGGGATGAAATCAGCTGCTTTGGCAGGTCAAATCCTGTCCAAAGGCTAGAACTGGGTAATTCCAATTTGAAGCCATACGCTGGCATATGCTCGTACAAAACTGCTTTTTCTTCTATATGCAGTTTTAAGAAGGTGAAATTTAAGTACTGAATATCTGTCAGGTTATTCCTCTCACCTACCTCCAACAAATTTAAGTCTCAGAGAAGATCTATACTATAATGTTTAACTCACACCAGAAAACCCAGACATTCAGTTCTCTAAGTTTAGAAACAAATTACAATTTCACTGCAGTATTACAACAGTAATATGGCAATAGGAACAACGGTGGTGTGTGGGTAACAGGTCTGTTCACACTGCTAAGCTATAGCCAGCCAAGGCCATATTGGGGGAGGTCTATAATCACTTTCACAACATGGATCAGTGTTACACCGACAGATGTTTTGCACTCCTGTTACAGGTAAAACAATTTAATTACCACTGTTATTTATTATGAGTCAATTGAGCTACAACCCTGTAATCAAAGAATGATACTATTACGCAGAAACTACTGGAACTACATAATATTTGAGAACAACAACAAAAACCAAATGAAAATGCTATGGTAAACTCCTGACATTTTTTTCAAAGTATAAAAACACTTTTCCAGCTACATTTGACTGTTAACCTGACTGCCTCACCTCTGTATCATTGTTGAGATTCCACAGATCAAGCCTGCCCATCCCATCCACGCAGGCAAACAAGGCAGGGTGAGTTGGAGACCACATCACATCATAAACATAATCTGAGTTGTCTTCAAAGGAGTAGAGAGGTTTGTTATTCTGAAAAAGCAAACACGACAGTGCAATACCCAAACTCTGCACTTCAAAATTATAAAGCTAACAAGTAAAGCAAAATACAGAACTTCTCAGCAGCATTATCAGCAGTAACTAAGAAGTGATTCACGTTTTTACTTACTTTATAAAATGCCTCTGCAAAAAGCTGCCAAAAATTAATGCTATTATTAAAGGGATGCTTTCCAAAGCATGCAGCATTTTTGCTGGCTGCTACTATTAAACCATCAGTAGCAACCCAATATTGCAAGAGATTGTAAATTCAGTGCATTAAGAATCTTGTAAATCAAGCTAATGGTAATTCAGTGACAGCACTTCATACTATTACTGGGAGATTCTAACTCTGCTTTCTCTGCTTTGCATTCCTCAGGGCATCAGACTAACAGAGAAAGAGGTAATTCTGGCAATGGGAATGATAGATATTTCAATTGTGAGCCCCATGGAGTTTAACTGACATCAGTTTTGGTGCTGTCCCTTGGTCCTCCACAAAATTGTAGCAAAACATTTGCTTTATGCATAATATGAAGTAATGGATTTTACAACATTATTTACATTTGATTACATTGTAATTGTTGCTGATAACAAAGGGCAAGAGGGTGAACGGAATGGATCAGAAGTATACAAATTACGTACAATCTGAAAGCAAAGCTTTATGTTGTTAACGATAGTTTTGTTCATCAGCTGTCTCCTCTTTGCAGGACTGCTGCTAGGAACCTAGAGAGCTTCACGGGATTTGACTTCGGTTTACTGAAGTTTCTTAAGTAGCTTACATTATAGCACCACCTTGTGTCAAGGACTATGAAGAAAACCACTGAACTATCTAAGTTACCTTAGTTGTCCAAAGCTTTACTGTCCAGTCAAAAGAAGAGGTGACAAAAAGATGTGAGAAGTCTACAGGTCCAACTGCTGCATGGCAGTTGATACCTGTGATTGGTCCCTGGTGTCCTTCAAACATCTCACTGATTCCAGCTTTGCTGTTTAGAATATATAACCAAGATTAATTTATGTGGTAACTGTACATCTGCAGACAGAGACAGCACTGAAATGCAATTTAAATATAGCCACAAGAAGATTTTGCTGCTTTGTATGGATGTTACCCCACTGCAAAAGGCTTCAACACAACAGGATCACAGAAGACCAGGCTTGAATATGGACCTTAACTTCAACATCTATTTTCTGCTGATCTTAAGTGCCCAAATATACCACAGGGAGAAAAGACTCATTCAGCCGGTACCAGTCCACACATTCAACCACATTGTTCTCCAAGCAATAGCTAAAATTTCCATTCATACAAAGAACAAAATCCAGTCCTCAGGAATGAGCGTAAAACTCCCACTGACTTAAGAGAAGTTGTATGTACCTTACGGACACAGAGTTCAGGCATAAAACAGTAACAATATATCCCTAATAGTCTCCTATCAGGAGTGATGAAAAAGAAGGGGGGAAGAGATGGGAAGCATGTTACACAAAAGTGATACAATTTTTGGTATTTTGGAACCAAAAAGCTGTGCAGCAAGGGCGATGTGTATTTGAGATGAAACCTGGACACTCAATTATATTTAAGAAAGCAATTGATAAGATACAGTCAGACAATTTCAAAATAGATTGAACAGCGGGAGAAAAGCTAGCCAATTTAAGATTTGTGCGTGATGTTACTGTACAATTATCTATAGAACCGATAGGAAGTTTGGAATGTTCTGCTACAATTCAAATGAAAAAAACCACAGTGACCTACGCTGCCCTTATCAACAGAAACAACCTCTAGTCACTGAAGGCAGCATAGTACCAACTCAATATTCCAACTTCTGTTTTTAATGAAGCTCTGACTCGGGGAAAAAGCGTGCACTGGAATTCATATACAGCTACTTTGAACTCCTTCGAGACAAAGGAGTAAACGTGCACTATAAATAATTTTAGGAGTGTAAAGCATGCAGGGACTCATCCTTTCACTGTTTTTATTTCCTTTGAATAATCAAAGTTTGTATTTACCTGCCATGACGGCATGCAGTGTACACTGAGCCTTCTTCACTGCCAACAACAAAGTTGTTGACATCTCCAATAGGGAAGGACATGCAAGTAACAGCCACAGCCTTGGACTGTTTGTGAACCAGCTCCATGCTATCCTGTAGCGAAAATACCAGCAACTTACTTAAAAAAAAAAAATTGAAACATTAACACCTACAAAGTCATTTACATTTTTCAATAGTAGGGTTTTTTTTTATATTTTACTTGTACAGAATTGGGCGGGAATAAAAGTAATTTCTTGTTAAAATTATGTTCACCACTAACACAAGTGCAACAAAAAATATACAAAAGGATCAACAGACAATATTTGATTCCATGAGTGGGGAAATATTTTACCAAATAGTTATCAAGCTACTTCAAGTACAAGTCTGTGTGTTGGGAAAATGTTTATTAATGCTTCTTAGATTAATTAAATTTTTAGGATATATTAATCTGGAATAGATACTATATATATCCAAAGTTATCTTACCTGCGGTTGGGAAAGCATGTCCAGACTCCAAGAGCATATTTTCCCATCAGTTGAGATACTAATCAAATTATGAGCATTCTGGGTCCCAACAACATTTACACAGTACACTGGGTGCTAAGAAATGTAAAATACTATCAGAAAGAGGAATTTCCAAGTAATAACCAATTCTTCTATAATTAATATACAATAAAATATAAAACTTCACCATTTAACAAAACATAAAAGACTGATCACAGCATGGTACAAAGAATACTGTCCTATAAAACTGGTACTTGTTTTTCTCACACTGATTTTTATGAATAGCGTGGTTCTTCAGTGATAGCATTGGCAAAATATGGACATAAACATTTAAGCATTATCAATCCAGTGCGCAGGACAGAGTTTCCTAGAGGTTAAATACATCTCAACAGGGAACAGTCCTTGAACATATTTCACCCCCTACCGTGTGAGCAGCAGCCGAAAGTGGAGTTCTCTGCACTGGGGTTCTCTTATTGCTGCGATTATCCCATAGCACTATTTGGCCTGAGTATGTGCCACCAACCACCAGATTGGGATGAAATTTTGCAAATGTAGCTGACATCACTGCTGACTGAAACGAAAAAAAAACAAACCAAAACCACACAAACAACTAAATACACAAAAACCCTATCATTCAACGTTATGTCTAAAACTAAAGAAAACGGGACTGAATATCAGAGTGAGTTCTTCGCCTAGATTTATTCGATACACTATTTCACTGTCCAATTACTTGATTCACAAACCCTTTGTGAACCCCCAACAGTCTTTTAGTTTTAATTTGTATTCATAAAATGAAGTTTTCCTCCTCTTTTCTTTCATAGGTATACATTTGTATTCTTCTTAGCATAGGAAGGGAAGGCCCACAATGCACAAGATTTTAATAATGTTTTGCCACATTCTGTGGGCATTTTCTTAGAGGACATAAAAATACGTTTTGATAAAATAAAGTTACTTTTGCAGTCTGGGCTTTGACAGTAATCTGACAACATGAGATTAAATTTTAATTCAACTATGTTATTTTTCGGAATTACTGCATTTTGAAAATAAAGCAGCTATCCCAGGCATGACATAAGGGAAGAAATTTGCATGGTTTTATCTTTCAGAAAACTACTAGAAAGCCTCCATCTGCCTTTTTCTTGATGCATATGTTTCTAGTTTTCATCCTTGCTCCATCTCCTCAGGCCATCTTCATTTTATTCAGTAAACTAAGCTCTAGTAGTATACAATCCCACTCAGTCTCCTTACATACAAACCTTCTTTGTGGTTCAACCATTACACAAGAAGGTTCTTTGGTTTTTAAATAAATTAAAATAAGAAAATGAGTTCTCAAACAAGACTGAATTCTGAATGGTCAGAAATTCTGAAACAGAATGTTTCTAAACTGAAATCTCTAGCTATCAACATCTGTTTGCAGATACATATGGTTAAAGTGAATGCCAGCCCAATGAAATCATGATGTTGACAAGCATAAGGAAGGTACTTGTCCAAGTTAATCAACATAAAATCTTTAGCCTCCTGAGACAGAATCATACCTGGCAGTGAAAGACATACTCTGGGGTAGTTTTCTTGTACTTCATATTCCATACAAGGGCCACTCCATCAGGCTCATGAGGTGCATCCTCATTGTTGTTGTAAGAGGCTACAAGTAATTCTGGGTACTGTAAAACAAGTTAAAAAGACTCAAAGTAAGCAAGATGACTAACTAATGGTCCAGACAATCCTAGAATCTTTGTTTTCTTTTGCCAAAATAGGGTTAAAAAACCCACAAGCCATCTTACATTATATATAAATGAGAAATTGTCAGTTAAAACTGCAGTTGTTTCAAATGTAGCTCATAAAACAGCATTAACATACACATTAGAGTCTTGTTCTGTCTTTCATGATAACCTGCTTTTAAATGTAAACCCCAGTACTTTTAAGTGAGCTTTTGTTAGTGAAGCTAACAGTTACCTCTACAAAGTAGTCCATAAACCAGAAACAAATAGACCAAAGACTTTCTTGGTAATACAAACATTTTGCTACTTTTCACAAGAGATTAACAGCTCTGTTTACTTTTTGCAAACTATGGAGCATGTAAGGAACACATTTAGAAATACAGCCTGTATTAATTGTACTTATAGAAGGGTCAAGCGCATAGAACTAGAAGAATTTACAAAGATAACTGCTTAACGTAAGCATTATTTTTTACCTGAGATGACCAGTCCAAACAGCTGACAACGCGATGCTTTGACCAACGTTCATCAAAAAACTGCCTATTTAAGGACAGTTTTGCTCCTGCTTGAATCTCTCTATAAAGGCAATTAGCAGATATTAATCTTAGATCACTTTTTCAGTTACAAATATTGCACATTCACAGTAAAGTATTCAACATTCATGTTACCCTTCTTTGTCTTCTAAGTCTCTTCCACTGTAGTCAAAGAAAATGTTGATTTGCTCAGAAAGGGCTCTTTCAACAATCCTTGTGGAGTGGTCAAAGAAACTTAAAAATTCTTCAGAATGCAAAATTTGTTGTTTTTCCTCTTCTGTAAGTTCATGAGGGGCTGCTGGAAAAGAATTATACATACGTTCTTTGTACTGCATACTTTCACCAGTTCCCTCCAAGGAAGAAAAACAGAGTATTTACCATGACGTTGGAAAATTTGTTTCCTAACATCCACAGATTTTAAATACATTTTATATTTTGCTAGCTGATTGTTAAAATGTAAATCAAATTAATTTCAACTTAATGGAGAGAAAAGAAGTTAAAAATTTATTGATGTCTGTCTTTACAACATATTCAGAAGTCTTGAGGTGAACTGTACCTTCTTCCTCCTCCTCTTTTTTTAATGTTTTTTCTTCCTCAGGTTCAACTAACGGTTTTGGTGCAACCACATCATCTTCATCTTCCTCATCTAAGGAGAAACGTTATGGCGAGACTGTCAATGTTTTTAAAGAGGAACAGTAACATTCCATATGAATCTCAAATAAGCAGATGTAAAATGGTATCATTTAGCTTAAAATGGTTATATTTGTAAAATGTAGTCCCTAGGATAACATTATCTCAAACCAAAAGATCATTGGAACACTGTCTACACCTGGATTTTACTTGCACTAAATTATGTAGTTGTATAAACTGAAATAAGACACATAAGAAATTGTAAAGAATCCGAAGTAGAAATCTCTTACAAGCATTTATGATTCCACACAAAACCATGTGGTGGATGCATGTTCTGTGTAACATACTGACACATTAATGCTGCAGAATAAAGAAAAAATCAAATGTCTAAAATAGTCTACAGAGCAGCTGCTTACTTGTGATCTGAAACCATCAGAGTCTAATGGGTCTTCACACGGCATGAAGATGGCTTACATTAGCTTTCAGGTTGCTATTCTGAGAGGCAAATTTTGCTAAAGATAATAGCAGGGAAATTACATTTTTTCTGTCATTCTAAATGCAAGTCTCATTATCTGTATCATGTTTGGCAATGAGAACTTTACAACAAAATGTGTTTTCCCTAATTGCAACGCGTAACATAAAATATTAATGTTCAGGAACACTGACAAGGTTTAGAGCATTTTTTGCATTTCTACATTGTCTTCTTTGAATACCATAAACCAGAAAATAACTTTAAATTACTTAGTCTTGTAGAATATGCATTTCCTGTCTTTTCTTCATCCACGTTCTAGAATAAGCTTCTGAAAAGACTATTTTCATTGGTAAAACAGCTATGTCATCTGTCTATAAGGGAATGGCAGTGGGAGACTGCTGCATGCTTCATCACAAGTAATGAGACAGTATTCAAGAGGGACTAGGCTTGTTTGTTGCAGCCATCTCCCTGACCCATGTTCAAAGTTATCTGACAAAAAAAAAGTAAAAAAAAAAAAAAAAAACCAACAGATGCATGCGCACAAAAAAAAAAGAAAAAAAAGGGTGGTCAAGGGATGGGAACCAGCTGCCAAGCCATGGTCCCAGCAGCCAGGCCAGCTGACTAGATAGCAACAACCAGATGGTACTGCTAGGATTGTCTCTCTGCTATGAGGTGGCAATGGGATGGCACAACTTTTTCACCCCTCCCCCCAACCCCTTTTAAAAATTTTTTTAAAAAAAAAAAAAAAAAAAAAAAAAAAAAAAAATCCACATGCATGCGCACAAAAAAAAAAGAAAAAAAAGGGTGGTCAAGGGATGGGAACCAGCTGCCAAGCCATGGTCCCAGCAGCCAGGCCAGCTGACTAGATAGCAACAACCAGATGGTACTGCTAGGATTGTCTCTCTGCTATGAGGTGGCAATGGGATGGCACAACATTTTTCTGCCTGACTGCTTCCAATCATGTCTTTCCCCAACGGCAAGCCTGTGCAATTACCAGCACTCCAGGAGGTCTACAGACAAGCCTTTACCCTGCAAACAAAATACAGCTTGTAGGCCATACCAGCTGCCAAACCACACACATAGTGATAGGTTTAAAGAGGTCTGAAAATCTTTCTAACTCCATAGTATAAGCAATAAAAATATAACTGTACCTGCAGGAAAGAAAGCTTTAAATGACACTGTATAATGCACACAATAATACAAACTCCAACTTAATCAAAATGATAATGACGTATGCCAATCCTACATTACTTGAAATTGAGCGATTTTTACGTTCTGACAAGTTTACAGAACTAGGATAAATGGCATGAATGATTTCAATATATGCTCATACTTTTGAACCAAATGGTGAAGGTTAAAATCTTTCCTTTCAAGGGCCTCAATCAGCCACAAAGGAAAACAGTAATCACTGTCTTTTCAGCCAGCCCAACCGCATTTGTCAGCCCTTTCTCCGTCAATGCAGCCAGAGCAATCAACCTGCCAAACATTCAGAATGGAAAAACAATCTGAAAATACAGGGTATAATGCACCTGCCAGTGAAAATGGCCATTTCAAGAAAAGCTAGTGATCTCAGTGACCCTGCTGAGGAGGCGGTGGTGCAAAGGGGAAAGAACGCGTAAAAGAATTCTTAGTGATCTCCACTCTCTTGCACATTGACACTTCCTTACAAAGCATGCCAATTACAGCTTTTGTGCTACTTAAAAAAAATGAAAGCTTTTTTTGGCAAAATAATCACGCAGAGAAACAGAAAGACACTGCTCCTTTTTAGATGGATTCACATGTACAGCGGACTAGTAATCTGAAAACTGTATAACTTGTAGCAGTTCTAAAGAATGGAATTCTTAATGTCAAATCGCTATAGGTGTGAACACTGATTAATTAAAAAAATGTAATACGAGTTAACACACATGATTTTGAGAACAACAAATACAGGACCACATATTCACATTACAGCCACGTGGATAAAAATCCCCTTCTTGTTCACCCTGCCAATCAATCTTGCAGATTTAAATGATGCCTTCAAATTCAGAAATTTGGTTTTGGGTCACCCTGGATACATTATTCTAGCTTTGAAAGTCCCAAATTAGAAATTTCAGCCCAATCCCCCTTTAGTCATACTACACTGATTCTAAGTACCATTTTCAGTGACAGGAGTCCAATTCTTGTCAAATGCAGATGGTCAACCCCTTAGTGCTAAGTGACCTTCTAATCTACATATTTTATTCAAAAGATCATATAGTTGATTGCTCCTGCATTTTAATGTTTGAAACATAAATGGTATGTATTATATAGAGATCTAAATTCCTTCATAGTACTTTCACAGCATACAGCCAGTTGATATTACTGCATTTAAATGCAGGATACAGCACTTATTGTAATATTCTCAAAGGATCAGACTTGAAATTGAACATGTCATCTCACTGTGATTTATCTGTAACTACATAAATCTAAAACCTTCCCTCTAAAGAAAGAAAAGTAATACACAAACTTTCTCATTAAGGGATCTGGAGGAAAAAAAAAAACAAACAAACAAACAACCCACCAACAACAACACAAACAACACAAAACAAAAAAACCCCACATATACAAGTTCTTGACCTCATTATCCAAAACTAGGATGCTTCCTTATCTGAAACTAGGATACTTTCTCAGAGAAGTTTACAATCAAAAAAGGCAGCATGAGGCTGTTGGACAACAAAAGAAATAAGAAATTTTTGTTTTAATTACTTCTCCTGTCTCTGCTTTATCTTAAATTTATTTAATAACATGCCAGGTGCTGGTATTTGCAAGGAATTGGCATAACAATAATATATTACCCAGCAAATACTGAAAGATTGGACATACTATTTCTGAAAAAGTTCCACATCTAGTAAGTCAAGAACCCATGGAGTGGTATACTGCATTTATTTCAAGTCAGCTACATAAATTTGGAAACCCTAAAAGCACTGTCTAACTTCATCCTCCTTATTCATTATTGACTGTACCTACTGGCATTTTATGCCACTTCAATTGTCAGTATACCAAATACAATTCAGCATTTAAAAAAAGGCTGCTAAGACTTAGGAAAGTCATAGGGTCATGAAGACAGGAAATAGGACTCTATGTTGCATCAACATATTGATGAATATTCATTATAATATGCTAAGGGGTTAACTCCATGTTATTTCTGACAGGCGAATAGAGGATCTAAGGTTACAAAAGCAGTAAAGATTGCATAAAAATAGCAGCTACTTTAATAGCGACAAATTTCTTGTCAATGAATGCTACAAACAGGTTTAATGAACCGCTGAATTTTTACTTTGAGTTAACATTGAAGTTGTGATGTATTTTGGCAATACAGAAAGAAAAGCGGTGCTGTAAATTAGGCTGCACCTAGCAATAACACTATAGAGTGAAGTTCCAGTTGTCTGAGTAATCTGTTGCTGCAGAGTAGGTTAATCAAAGTTAAATCATCTGTGAAATGGGTGGCTTTTGTTAAGCCGAATGTCTTCATATCAAGTTTTCCCATCTATATTTCACTGTACATTTAAGGCATGTACAGAACAATACATAAATATATAAGCACCCATTATTTCTTTTTAAAATATTAAAATGTAAAAATGTAAAAATTCACTGTAACAGCATCCAAGAAGCCAATCCTATACACCAAATTGTTATTACTCAGCTTAAGTCAGAATTAAGAGGACAAAAACGCTTATTGTTTTCATTCTGTGTCTCGGAGACTTTACCAGACAATAATTCCTGAAAGAGGGGAGCTAATGCAATATACTGTCTGCAGTTAGTTGTGATGGCACATGCACAATACTGTACAGCAGCACTAAATAACAAGTATCCCATTAGTCCACGAAAAGCCTTAATTGTGACAGCTGACCAGAATCCTATTCCCCTATATGCTTATCTTCCTTTGAATTAACTACTTCAAGGACTCATAACACATCTTTATTGGGTGTATTCATGATTAATTTCTTTCCATGCAAATTTGAACAATATGTTATTAAATCACAAAGGAAGAGATCAAACAGTATAGTAGAGAGCAGTGTAGCAAGAAGTACAGATAAAAAAATTTAGCACCAATAATTACAGTACTCTGGGTGTTGGCCAACATGGAGCCTGCAGAACACTAAGACATATACCAGAGTTCACATCTGAATTGCATCTATGTTGCTGAAACTGCTTCTGCTGCCTGCTAGAAAGAGATGAGTGTATGAAGGGAACGCAATTTCAAATGTATTTTCAGAGAGAACTGAAAATTTGCTGCCTGATAGAGCATGCCAAATAGAGGCTAAATAACAGCCCTAAGAACCAGTTGACCACACTAACTAAAAAACATGTCCACCAAAATTGGACAATGAGGGAAGCAGGCAGAATCATGGGAAGTGAGAAATGGATTTAGATAATAGAAAAGGGGATGGCAGAACAAGGATGCTGGGGAATGGAGCAGCCTAAACACAGGATGTTCATGTTATGATGGTGACAAAAGTTAAAGCGTAATAATGGTGTAGAGACACAGATGCTTAGGCTTACTAGTTATGAAATAAGGGAGAACAGACCAAGTATGGCACAACACTTTTATCAAGACAAAATAAATTTATTTGGTCCCTAAACAAAAAAGATGGCCATCATTACTGTATCACAGAATGACAAAACCCCCAAAACAGGAATAGGACATGCCAAGAGAACAAGAGAAAAAAAAAGAGCCTATTTTCTCTGCTATATTCCTCAGAACAATGAACCATTTCATGATTTCATTTCTTTTACATAATAAATACAGCTGCTACAGAAACAGTAGCGTTAGAAGACTAAGGCTATTGAGAATTCTGGAGAAAAAAAAAAGTGGGGGGAAAGAAGTACTAAAGACAGACACGTGTCAGTATTTTCATCAAAGCAAGAAGTTTGAGAGCACCAAGACTGCCACCCCGACACCATTTCTTACTGTGTTTCTCTTCTTCTGTATCCTTAGTCACTTACTTGTATACATGGGACCTTGAGGAAAGAGCAGCTGTGGGTTACACCCATCATACAAAAAGCTCATAAAACAAGTATTGCAGATTTACCTTCTAAGTCTACTTTGGATGTGGGCATCTTCCTATAAGAACTGTGAAACATGTTTATTAAAAATTCAATTAATTGGGAAATTTAATATTCCATACTGTTCAGAATACAGTGAATGACTTCCTGTGGCAAAATACTTAGCGGTCTAAAGATGACTCAATCCCTAATCAGAGTGAAACAGATTTCTAGGCGAGATCCTGATTTTATTGTTTTACAATATTATAAAAAGAATCAATCTTCCTAAGACAGGCAGTTTCTCAAATACTTGAGGTCATAATAAATCAGCATATTAGTACTGTAGTAAAATAATGGAAGTTCTGAGAACTGTTAGCACACTAAATGCCTTCACCTCCTAAGGAAGCTGTCACATTTCAAAATTAAAAGCTGGACATTCCATAAGAGAAAACAAGGCTATCTACTATTTTGGATACAACGTTTCAAAGGGGTGGGGGTGAAGAAACGTGGAAAAGTCCTAATTCCAGCAGTGCTACTTTTTGTCTTAGCATGAAAAGGCTATAGTGCCACTAGCACTGAGGTCACATTCTAGCTCTAGCATCTAGGGCTGCATGGAAACTTGTCATTCTTTCGTTACAAGCGGAGAGGATCACTGGCTCAAAACAGTTGCAGCTGAGAAGCCTCGTATCTACAAGACAGCGGAGGGAGTTACTTCATATTTGAATATTGTCTAGGATGGTGCAACACATATGCACTATACAGAAGCATGAACATATAAACTTAGTCTACCTCCCTTCTCTAACTATGGAATTTTCCAGTTTGGGATTTCTCAACTACTGAATGCAGTTTTTTCTGTCAACTTCTGAGATGAGTGACCTTCGCATTTTAAAACCAGAACTGTTCAGGTGAAAGGTACTCATTATTTAAATTTAACTGTTTCTTACACTGAATCGAAAACGGGCATTTCCAAAGGCCAACTTTAAGTTGAGGACATGAAATCTCCCCTATGTAACTGTCATTTTGTTTCTGTTGCCATAAATATTTCCATGACAATTAGGAACTGTTTTAGTTTAACACCAGTTTTCCCCTACTTCCTGTCTGTCCCACCAGATTAGTTGTAGCTTGAATGTTTTCCAATTCAGGTTACAAAATAACTGCATAACCATTGTGGCACACAGAAGCGGAACTGCTTTTTTAGTTTTGTTTTCTTTTTTTTGTTTGTTTGTTTGTTAGTTACTTTTTCCCCCCCCCAAAAAAAAATCAGTGTTAGCACAATTTAACCTCCAGCACAAGTGGACCTAAACCTGCAGAATCCCCACACAGCATATCAAATAAACCTGTTTCTGTTTTCATAGAATCATAGAATCGTCAAGGTTGGAAAAGACCCTTAAGATCATCGAGTCCAACCCTTAACCTAGCACTGCCAAGTCCACCACTAAACCATGTCCTCAAGCACCACATCTACCCTTCTTTTAAATACCTCCAGGGATGGGGACTCAACCACTTCCCTGGGCAGCCTGGTCCAGTGCCTGAC